AAACTCTTATCACATCGGTACGGAGAGCGTGATCACATAGTCATCCGGAACAGCTGATGCTGTCATGCATGCTTCAGTGTTGCTTGCCTCGAAGCGAGCATAGAATTGATTTAGCTCGTCTGGTAGGCTTGTTTCACTGGGCAGCTCGCGGCTGTACTTCCCTTTGTAGTCTGTAATAGTTTTCAAGCCCTGCCACATCCGACTCTTTGCCTGTTTGATGGTTCGTCAGAGGGCATAGCGGGATTTCTTATAAGCGTCCGGGTTAGAGTCCCGCTCCTTGAAAACGGCAGCTCTACCGTTTAGCTCAGTGCGGATGATGCCTGTAATCCATGGCTTCTGGTTGGGGTATGTACGTACGGTCACTGTGGGGACGACGTCATCGATGCACTTATTGATGAAGCCAGTGACTGGTGTACTCAATGCTATCAGAAGAATCCCGGAACATATTCCAGTCTGTGCTAGCAAAACAGTCCTGTAGCTTAGCATCAGCGTCATCTGACCACTTCCTTATTAACTGAGTCACTGGTGCTTCCTGCTTTAGTTTTTGCTTATAAGCCGGAATCAGGAGGATAGAATTATGGTCAGATTTGCCAAATGGAGGGCGAGGGAGAGCTTTGTAAGCGTCCCTGTGTGTGGAGTAAAGGTGTCTAGAGTTTTTTCCCCTCTGGTTGTACATTTAACATGCTGGTAGAAATGAGGTAGAACTGTTTTAAGTTTCCCTGCATAAAAGTCCCCGGTCACTAGGAGCGCTGCCTCTGGATGAGCGTTTTCCTGTTTACTTATGGCCTTATACAGGTAATTGAGTGCAATCTTAGTGCCAGCATCGGTTTGTGGTGGTAAATAGACAGCTATGAAAAATATAGAAAACTCTCTTGGTAAATAGTGTGGTCTACAGCTTATCATGAGATACTCTACCTCAGGCAAGCAAAACCTTGAGACTTTCTTAGTATTAGATTTTTTGCACCAGCAGTTGTTTACAAATATACACAGACCGCCACCCCTTGTCTTACCGGAGTCAGCCGATGTAGCATCGGCGGCGGGGGGGGGAGGGGGGATCTATAGTTAAATATTAGATTATTTTTGCTCTAGTTGGCGGTACCTGCACCAAAACTCCAGTATTTTTCCTCATAGCCTGTTCTCCATCTTCTTATTAGATACGGAGCCAATCGCAATACACATCGTATCGGCACCTAAGTATCATGATAGTATCGTGAGGTCCCTGGCATTTCCCAGCCATACTAACCTGTCCTGAGTAATATTACAAAATGCCAATACTTTGCCTACTAGAACAGACGTACTTGTGAGTAGGGCTGTTGCAGTGACCGTGTTACCGCCACACCGAATAGAATAGGTCGACTTTTGTACTATGGGGGATAGTAGATTGACATAGGCTAGTGCTTTTGCTGTTCGTTAGGCCTACTCATCTTGTTGGCTGACAAAAAGTAAATGTGGACAGTTCTTCCAATATCTTCAGTATGCACCTCGGAATTGGATAAGGACGCACAGTTGCGTCCTGGATGTGTCTGTCTTCACTTGTAGCCTGTGAGAAATACCTGATCACGTGACGGAGAGCCATTTGAGTGAGAGGCGCTTCGGATTGCGCAAAACACTCCGGGAGGAGGGCACAATGCAGCACTATGGGCCGCAAAAGGCATGGATTTTTTTAGGGTGCATTACGGCCACGAAGGGGATGCCGCCGTGAAATTCGAGGCATTATCAAGTGCTTGTCAAATTGTGAATGCGAGACTATTGGAGTGTGTACAGCCTGTGCAAAAAACAAAGCAGAGCTCATGTCTTTCAAGTGACTTTTTTCAACTCATCATTAGTCTCATCATGCAGCCTTACAATATACACTGCTCAAAAAAATAAAGGGAACACTTAAACAACACAATGTAACTCCAAGTCAATCACACTTCTGTGAAATCAAACTGTCCACTTAGGAAGCAACACTGATTGACAATACATTTCACATGCTGTTGTGCAAATGGAATAGACAAAAGGTGGAAATTATAGGCAATTAGCAAGACACCCCCAATAAAGGACTGGTTTTGCAGGTGGTGACCACAGACCACTTCTCAGTTCCTATGCTTCCTGGCTGATGTTTTGGTCACTTTTGAATGCTGGCGGTGCTTTCACTCTAGTGGTAGCATGAGACGGAATCTACAACCCACACAAGTGGCTCAGGTAGTGCAGCTCATCCAGGATGGCACATCAATGCGAGCTGTGGCAAGAAGGTTTGCTGTGTCTGTCAGCGTAGTGTCCAGAGCATGGAGGCGCTACCAGGAGACAGGCCAGTACATCAGGAGACGTGGAGGAGGCTGTAGGAGGGAAACAACCCAGCAGCAGGACTGCTACCTCTGCCTTTGTGCAAGGAGGAGCAGGAGGAGCACTGCCAGAGCCCTGCAAAATGACCTCCAGCAGGCCACATGTACATGTGTCTGCTCAAACGGTCAGAAACAGACTCCATGAGGGCCCGACGTCCACAGGTGGGGGTTGTGCTTACAGCCCAACACTGTGCAGGACGTTTGCATTTGCCAGAGAACACCAAGATTGGCAAATTCGCCACTGGCGCCCTGTGCCCTTCACAGATGAAAGCAGGTTCACACTGAGCACATGGAGAACGTTCTGCTGCCTGCAACATCCTCCAGCATGACCGGTTTGGCGGTGGGTCAGTCATGGTGTGGAGTGGCATTTCTTTGGGGGGCCGCACAGCCCTCCATGTGCTCGCCAGAGGTAGCCTGACTGCCATTAGGTACCGAGATGAGATCCTCAGACCCCTTGTGAGACCATATGCTGGTGCGGTTGGCCCTGGGTTCCTCCTAATGCAAGACAATGCTAGACCTCATGTGGCTGGAGTGTGTCAGCAGTTCCTGCAAGAGGAAGGCATTGATGCTATGGACTGGCCCGTCCGTTCCCCAGACCTGAATCCAATTGAGCACATCTGGGACATCATGTCTCGCTCCATCCAACAACGCCACGTTGCACCACAGACTGTCCAGGAGTTGGCGGATGCTTTAGTCCTGGTCTGGGAGGAGATCCCTCAGGAGACCATCCGCCACCTCATCAGGAGCATGCCCAGGCGTTGTAGGGAGGTCATACAGGCACATGGAGGCCACACACACTACTGAGCCTAATTTTGACTTGTTTTAAGGACATTACATCAAAGTTGGATCAGCCTGTAGTGTGGTTTTCCACTTTAATTTTGAGGGTGACTCCAAATCCAGACCTCCATGGGTTGATAAATTTGATTTCCATTGATAATTTTTTGTGCGATTTTTGTTGTCAGCACATTAAACTATGTAAATAAAAAAGTATTTAATAAGATTATTTCATTCATTCAGATCTAGGATGTGTTATTTTAGTGTTCCCTTTATGTTTTTGAGCAGTGTATTAAAAATCATATAGCCCAATTTAACAACTAAAGTTACATGAATAACTCTAAATTAAGCATATAGGAGTACCTATTTCTTTGTTAACCGCTCAGCACATAATAGCTGCATGTGCGCACTCCCTCAAATCGTTTGGAGAAAATATTTATATTTTATTCAGCTTTGTTCAATTCTATTCTTCATACTATAAAATAATATAAAATTATGCCACGGAACTATAAGCAAATCTAGTCTGCTAAATGAACTAGTGTAGCCCACAGCCATTTGGCATAGCGACATCAGGACCTATCATAAGGACAACTCGGAGAATGCTATTCTTTTCTTCTGAAATAGACTACATTTTCTTCATATCTCCCTACAAAATTTACAGTATTAAGGGTTAACTGAAAGGAAGCAGTCTATGTAGCTAAAAACCTAGCCTATGTAATAAGACAGGATTTAAGTTCTAGATTGTATTTTGAGAAAAATGCTGTTCAACACTGAGAAGAACAGCTTTGAAACATGATATTCAAGCCACTCCTATAAGTTAGTCCTATTTGTGTCAGAGCACGATAAAGAAATTGAGTAACTTGAAACGTCTCACTCACTAGTTCAATGACAATCCTCAATGGCACAGGTCTGGTTAAAGTGCTTGGGTCAGAGCCACAGTTTAGTGATATCTAGAGGTAGACACTAGCTGCGATGTTAAAAGTATTTGTGGGAAATGTGTAGCATACTGAATACTTTATCGAGAGGTTTATCATTGAGAGGCTGAGTTTCAGTTTCCTATATCAGTGTATTTGGAATTTCAGAGCAGTAACTAAACAATGTTCGTCAATTCAACCAGCTGTCATATTGAAAGTTCTATACAATATTTGAACTCTGCCTGAGAGCGAGCATTTGCACTCTCTATTCCTCATTCTACCAGTGGCTGCTCTCTTCTCGTGACATCACATCTGTTGCCATAGTTACTGTTGCTATCTGAGTAAGAAGATTATTGGTTATCTAGTGTTTTCAATGTGAATCTGAGCACATTAATAGCGAGGTTGCTATTATTTCTGTTCAATTCCTCACCATACATCAAAGCCTGTCAGAGCGCTGTATCTATAAAAGGCGTTGCATTCCTCTGACTCCCACTGTGGGCATTGGCTACATTTTTGTTGTTTGTCTGATGTGCATATTAAGCACCAAGAATAACGGTTGCCACTAATACAGGGAGGAAGACAAATCTCTCATTATGTTCTTTAACTCATTCCTTTAGCCTCTGTCTGTTTTCTTTCAATTAAAATCCGTGGAATGAATTCTTAGGATAAGCACAGCATAGAATTCTAGAAACACAGGGTAGAAAACAATTTTATGCTGATTGTATCACTGTCACATCAAATCCTGATCATTTTAATGAGGAAGTCTGCATTTGTCTAATCATCGTTTCTGTTTCTGTCTAGCTGTCCTTACTTGCACCGGACCACTGGTGACACAGAGCGCAAGTACCATCTTCGCTATTACAAGACTGGTACCTGTATCCATGAAACCGATGCCCGCGGGCACTGCGTGAAGAACGGCCTACACTGCGCCTTTGCCCATGGCCCACATGATCTCCGCCCCCCTGTCTACGATATCAGGTGATCTATCATGCCTTTAGTAACCACTCTGTTCTCAAGGTATCAAACCTTCAACAAACATGTGAATAGGCTTGTTAAGCCAGTTAGCTGAGTACACAAGGATAAATCATGCATGGTCTGACCATGCACTGACAAAACGTACCAACTGATTCCATTTGGACATCATAGCTTTGGGGAAATTCTTAAATTTACCAGTAGACTATATTTTTGAAGATCGCTATCAACCCCTTCTCTACCATTGTTACTGTTACTTTGATTCGACATGGTAGATCTAGCTGTCTCGGCTGAAGTGATAATAGGCTCAAAATAGCCTGCATTCACTCCAGTACATGCCCATACATGGCAGTGGGAGAATTAAGTGTGTTCATCTATTTTCTTAGCTCAATTAGCCTCCCTGATGCCTCTCGAATTGGCTGGGGCTAAGAGCAGATGAAAGCACAATTTTCTCATCATAGACATCAGTTATAGTGTACTTATTGCCAGGGTTGATGTTGGTTTTGTTGAGTACCAATAGGGAGAAATTCACTGCCTAAAACAGTGCAAACAATGAAAGTGCTAAAGTATGGTGATTTCTTTAATGAGATGAAAGATTCAGTGGTATATTTGAAGTAATATCCCCACATATCTCAGAGATGGATACAAAAAATAGGCCAATATCTATATAATGCAAGCAATGGACTTAAGCTTAACAATAACATACATTTGCTCTTTTACTATGAACCATCTGTTCATATTTTAACATTTTAAATACCTGTCACTAGAAGATAGCAATACCTTGTCTAACGTCCCATGAATGACGTCAAATTAAGGAATGGGAGCTTGAAATAATTCAACAAAAACAACATTAACTGTGGTATCAGAGGCACGCTCAAGTGTTGCCTAGCAACTGTTGAGCTGAAAAAGTCTGTAAGAGCCAGGCAGCCTGAATATTCTACATTTGTCTCTTCCTCTTTTTTTGTTTGTTTTGTGTAGTAGCTCTCTGACTGATCTTCTTCATGTGCACAGAGAGATCCAGGCACAGGAAGCCCTCCAGAATGGCCAGTTGGGATCTGGAGAGGGTATCCCTGATCTACAGCCTGGGGTACTGGCCAGCCAAGCCATGATAGAGAAGACTCTTACAGAGGACCCCCGGTGGCAGGGTGAGCAGCAGACATATTGATTCTGGTGGTGGTGTCACCTAGTGCCACAACTTTTCTATTGATTGGATTTCCTTGACCTGTTGCATTATATTTTGGCATTATGTCAAGAACAGAATGTCTTACAATGAGGATGTTTATATGCACACTAATAATTAGATATTAAACTGATTATGGCAGAAGGCAGAGTATGGCATTAGTCATGTAAACACCTTACTCTGCTTATCTTAATCGGCGTGAGATCGTAATGGTAGTAAGCATACACCGATTAAAACACCTGGTTTTCTGAACAATCTTTTGTAATTATTAGGACATGTTAATGCCTTAAATCAGAGTTACAGCGGTGTATTTGATTGCGCTGCTAGCACGAGCAGCGCAAGCTTCCTTCTTTTGTACGAGTGAAGTGATTTCGGAAAAACTGAAAGTATGCATCTTAGAAATAGTTTTCACATACAAACTTTGTCTGAATTCAAAATCAAATAGTTTTCACAAAAATAACATTGTCGCTGTGGTAGAACGTTTATTTTGATTAGCAATTTTTCTGCATTTATCAAAGTCGCATCAGGTAGCCTGATTTCAGAAGTGTCCATGTAAACAGGATTATTAGGGAAATCATTCTTCTTGAAAACAAACTATTATATTAATCTGACTATTCACAATAATTGTTTTATTGTGTGCATGTAACCATACTCATTGTGTGCTTTCCTTCCAGACACAAATTTTGTTTTAGTGAACTACAAAACAGAGCAGTGCACCAAGCCTCCACGACTATGCAGACAGGGCTATGCCTGCCCCCACTACCACAATAGTAGAGACAGAAGACGAAATCCACGCAAGTTCAAATACAGGTAGGAGATTGGGACAGTCAAACGATAAAGAGTAAGCCTTTTGACAACTGTGTAATAATGCTGTAATATGTAGCCTGAGCATTTGTATGTGTTTAAGTTAAACCCCTTGAATGATGTGTCAGGTCAACTCCGTGTCCCAATGTGAAACATGGGGATGAGTGGGGAGAGCCATCAAAGTGTGACAGTGGAGACAGCTGTCAATACTGTCACTCACGCACTGAACAGCAGTTCCACCCAGAGGTAAGTGGGACATTGGACACTTATAAATGCTTAGCGCATTTCGTCTCTTGCAATGGGGAATCTGTCAAACCTTGTTTTGGAAAATGCCACACAGTTATGAGCAGAAAACCCGTCTTTCTCACTTCAGATCTTTTTTCTTTCAGATCTACAAATCCACCAAATGCAATGATATGAGGCAAACTGGTTATTGTCCTAGGGGGCCGTTCTGTGCGTTTGCGCATGTAGAAAGTAAGTGAAGCTCCTCAAAATAAGTAAACGCTGTCTTGCTTGTTGACAACCTTTTAAAGTTAAAACCTCCCGTCTGTGATTGTGTACTTTCAGGAATTCCCTCCACAGAAGAGACCATGAACTCGTTGCTAACAGCGATGCAGTCGGGCTCCCAGGCCAAGCTGGGCTCTCAGCAATATTCAGAGTGTCCAGTCAGCGAGTGGGGCAGCAGTGCCAACTCCATCAGCAGCAGCAACAACGGCCAAGTGGGGAATGTATGTGATCTGATTACTACTCCCTCTCTGCTTCTCTCAACTGTCTTTTACAAAGGCATCTCAGTTTGTATGAAAAACATGCTGTCAATAGATTAGATACAATTATAGATTAGACCCTGAATAGATTAGATCAAATATTTAAGCTTTTAACTTTCCTTTTTTTGTCACTCCTTTGTTTTGTATATTCTTGTCATTTTCTGTTTCCGTTCTTCTGTTTTCTGTACTTGCCTTGTATTTCACTAGTCTGTAACATCATTTTGTTTCTGGTAGTACTAGTGCACCAAGAAATATACAGCGAAATTCAAATAAATATAAGATTCAACAGAAACCAAACCTTAACAATTCAGTGTCATTTTCTCTCTCTGAAGCCAGTATTCAATCTAAACATCTTCAGCTATCATCTGCTCTCTGGCCTCATTGGGAAAGCTGGACTCGTTTGGCTGGCTTTAAAACCCTATTGTTAAGACCATGTGTACTTCTCTCCCTCAGGTTTCATATTCTAATAGTCCGACTGTAACGCCAAGCTCAGGAAGCAACAGTTCATTGTCCTCAATCGGACCCATCGGCAGGTCCAAATGCTTAACTAATGGTAGCTTATGTTCAGAGTCCACCACGTCAAGTGTGTCATCTCTGACGTCTAACTATCCCAAAGCTCCGGGCTTTGAACGCGAGGATCAGGTACTACAATAAGACTGCTCTCCCTCTCTCTCTTTCCCCATCCTTACGGGAAGACCCCTGCACTCAGCTTAGTGTAGGGCCTGACCCGCTGCTACACACACTTTGGTCATAGTTTCCATTAATTTAATTCTGAATTTTGATTTATTTGTATGTTAAATTATTTGTCAGTCATGTTTTTTATGTTACGTCATTTTCTATAATTTGTGATGCCTTGTGTGACTTGGTGAATACTGAAATTAACAACCGAGGCAAAATAGAGAATAGTTTACCCATTCCAGGTCAGATTTAGTGTTGTACTTAACATTTTATGAACGTAGATTAGACATTATACTTGGATATGCAACTTGTATTCATGTTATCTATTAGTTACAAAACAAATGTCTGCTTATTTAGTTTTAGACTGTCTTAATGTGTTGTGATCATAACATTAGACATTTTCTCTCTTTGATAGGGCTGCAGATGACTGATTATTAACAGAATTCTCTTCACTTTTAAGAACGGTGTTGGCTTTCTAGACAGGCCAATTGCTGGGTTTAAGTGTTGGGTCATGTGAATGTGCTGTCTGTTTTCAGATAAAGAACCATAAGGGACATAGTGATCAAAAGATGATGGACCAAGACAAGCAGGTGAATAACTAAAGCATTTGCCACTGCCTTTGTATTCGTAGAGGCTAGTGACCGTGTTTCCCCTATATTCATTTACTGCTGCTCCAAAAAATATGATTTATGGAGAATAATTGTCGTTTTAAGCGTAAACTTAAACGACTAAAACCAGATATAAAGTATGTAGAAAAGATAATGGAGCTATATATATTTTAAATAAGATCATCTTTGAGAACTAACAATCACCCAAATAAAAACTAGACAGTCAGGGAGAATCTAAAATTCCAAAAATGTCATGGCATGGGGCCCCCATTGATTTTGTTATAATGTTTGAGTCACTCAAATGGCATAAGCCATGGCAAAATGTGTAGAATTGCAGGAACATCAATAACTTTGCCGCCTCTGCTGAAAAAAATCCTAGGGGAAACACTGCTAGTGATATGTAGAACATTTTATATTTAAAGGTATTCATGTAGAGGAAAAAGGGTTTTGCTGTTATAATTTCTAAGTCATTGGTACCCGTCCAATTGACTATTGATAAAAAAGGCCTATTCATGATCTCCCATATAAAGCATATGACTAAGCATATGCCCAGGCATGGTATCTGTGCCTTGTCTTACTTCTTAACCGAGCACCAATGTAGTAAAACTAAGTATTGCTCAACATTGACACTATTGATGAAACAATGCTTTATTATGAACGCCTCTTTTACAGACACACAATAGTGTATTCTCTGGGATGAATCCTCTGGCATCCAGCATAACCTCCAGTATAACATCTAGCCTGGCCTCCAGTATTGGCTCGGATAGTTCCTCACCCACCACCTTATCAACAATGAATGCAAAAGCAACCCCATTCTATCCAGGGAGCAATACTGTGGAGTCAGTTATAGGTAAGTGTACTTGTATTGTGCTCACTTGTTTAAGGTGTGAATGTAACTCTTTATACAAGGAATACTTATTTCTCTAATTAAAAAAACAACTTGCCTTTTCTTTCAGGTTCTGCTCTTGACCTGAATTTTTGTGACATCAATGTTGCCTCTCTTGATAAAGAGTTTGAGGAGCAAGAAAACAAAAGTATTGGTTTAAGTAAGCAAACCTTGTTTGAAACATTGAACACAATTGACTTAACCGTGTGTTCTGTGTTTTAAATTGCGAAATTGATTTCTGCTTCCTGTTGTCCTCTAGGTCAAAGGATGTTGGGAGGATCCGCTCCGGTCAACATTCCTGGCTCCTTTGCACGGTCCTCTTCATTGAATTCCAACTCATCACTCTCTGCCTCCCCTCTGAGCTCCCTCTCCCAGTGCCTGCTGTCAGGAATGGCTCCCCAGCAGAGTCAGCCTCAGGGCCTGCTAACCAAACCTGAGCATGGCCTTCTAGGAACACCTACCTCCTCTCAGAACACTCTGGGTAAGTTAACAATCTAATATTTACTAGCAATCTTGACAAACATGCAAGAGTGAGCATTATTATTTTACCTTTAGAGGCATTATCAACAATTCATAAATACATCTCTACCATTTTGTTTTGCGCTTTGACATGAAACAATTGTGCTGATCCCACCTTGTAGGTTTGAATGGGGGAGCTAGCAGCATATGGGACTTTGTGAGTGGCAACTTCTCTCCCAGCCCATCACCAGTGTTCAGCAGCCTGGGCTCCACCACTGTGAGCAGCAGCGCTGACCTGAACCGGCTCTTCAGGGAGCTGGATGAGGCCAAGCGGAAGATCAAGCAATGGGAAGACGCTTGGCACCAGGTCAAGCAGGTCAGACACTAGTCCCATGCAATAACTATGACATGAACTAAAGGCACTGCCTCTGTAAGCAATACATCCTGACCCTTGTTAAACCAATTATATATTTGACATGTCTCTGTCTGTTCCAGGCATGTGAGGCCTGGCAGAAAGACTCCCATGATGCAAAAGAACAAGCAAAGTCGGCCGAGGCGGAGCGGCAGCTGGCGGAGCAGAAGCGAGAGGACAAGGAGCGCAAGCTGAAGGAGCTCCAGGGGGACTTTGACGTGCTGTGTCGCTCCCCTGGCACGCCCCTGCTTAGAAGCTATGGAGACCTGGACCAGCTCCCTCTACCAAAGCTCCACTCCATCCAGAGCCAGCTGCGCACTGACCTAGACATTATAGACGGGGTAAGAAGGGCCAGATAAACACATTCTTATTTATAGTGATCAGGATATAAATTATGGCAGACTATTTAGCCCAGTGAAGTATGTTTTTTTTCTTAAGATCTTGCATGGAATCATTGTATTGAGTTATTCTGCTGCGAGTTGTTTCTGATACAACCTCTTCTCTTCCCAACACAGGTAATATATCAGCTTCAGTCAAAGAAATGTATAGTTTGCCAAACGCATGATCGTTGTATAGTCCTGCAGCCTTGCCAACATTATGTACTTTGTAAGAACTGTGCACCTAGTAAATCAGAATGTCCATACTGTAAGACAAAAATATTGAAGTGGTGATGTACTATTATTCAAGGTACTACTTAAGGAATTTGCCCTTTGAAGAACTACTAATACATATAGTATGCTTACATTTTCTAAATAGCATTTTGTGTTTCAGTATGTCATAGTAATTGAATTAATAGTTTAATTTGAACTACATAAATGGTGTTTGATAAATCAAGTCCTTAAATGTAATATGTTATTTTGTATTGTAATGGATCACTTACAATTTCCAAAAAGTTTGGGTATCCATCATTCAAGTGGGCCTAATTTGACTTTTCATCACTAAAACACATCAGTCAAACATTATTATTATGACCATCTTTGTGAAGAAGATTACTTTCTTCTAAAGCACTTTGTTGACCTGGGAATTTGTTAAAGGGTATTTTAGAAATTAGCTTTGAGCTGTTTTTGTTTCTTAGATTTATATATTTATTTTTCTTAATATGCTAATGTATCGAGCTTTTGTGTGTACTGTGAAACATACTAGAATATTTCATGTTTCCTATTGTTAAATCATGGTATAGTTCTATATATCTTGTTAGCTTTCATAGAAAAGTACTAAACAATAGTTTCTACTTTTCATTGTTTAATTTACATTTTTCCATCAAAGAAGTGCACACTTTTGAATGCATTTTAGGCATAACCAGCAGCTGTAATATCAGTAAGGCACATTTATGCTAAAGTAGTTAGGAAATCAATGAGTCTGTCTTTTAGTGATTACTGAATTGTTCATTATGTAGTTATTAGAGGAGCATGTCTTGATGTACAGAAGTCTGACATGGTGAATTTTATAGGATTCCTACTAGCCTCTCAAACATGTCTAGAACATATCTGATACTTGGCCTCTACTCTAGTCTCAAGTGCCTTGCCTTAGATGATAACCATAAGCATCGATATTTAGAGGATTGTTGTAAAAGCAGACACAGGTAGACAAAGCTTCTGCACACATTTCTGCAAATATGTCTACTTTATTTTTTACTTTGCATTATATGTATATGCCGTAGTGTATCGCCCCAATCCTATGTCAAAGTATTTCCTCAGATTATAGTTGTATGAAGATATAAATCTTGTCAGTGCCTGTGTCCTGACTTCACACTTACAACAAAGCTAAAAATATATATATTTTTCCTTGTCTTAACAGGCAATGGTGCTTCAGTATAATTTCAAATGACTTTTGATTTAATGTTTGGGAGTATGCAAGCAAGGAAACAACTCTATGGTCTTGTTTGTAAACAAGATAAAAACAGGCTCTGCTATACATTTTAGACTCGTGTTTGTTAGTTTGTTGTAAGAAATGCATCATTCTGTAGTGTTTACAGAAGACATCGGTGTTGAACCTGTAAGTTGTGTTTTCAAATACGACAGTAATGTGCTTAGCTAGGCTAATCTAATTGAAATGACCTTCTACTGTGTTCAAAATATGTATTTTTCCTCGCTCTATATCTTGGTCCTTTTAATATTTACAGCAATTAGTATGTTAAGTAGAAAGAACCCTTATATTCCCAGGTACATCATTTGTAACTTAGAAAAATTGAGAAATACAATTGTTTACATTTACATGGATGGTAATTCAGAAACTCAGAGAAAAACAAAACGTGTGTTTCTCCTAAAATACAAAAAGAAGAAAGGTATTGTGTTCCCTCATGTTTATCAATTTAAAATGGCAGGCAAAACAATTTTATTGCATGTCTTATAAGCGTCATACGTTAACCAGCTACAAATCTAGATCACACTGCCAGATATATTTGTATTGTCAGTCTAGCATACTGTAGAGTCGATCACTTCACTTCTGCAAGTGTAGTTGTAATGCATTTAGATTCTTGAATGTTGTTGTGCATACACAGTTCAGATTTCAGACATCAGTAGCCTAAATTCTCACTCACAAGTTAAGCAGTAACACGTTTTACTTAATATATATATCAAAATGGCATAACAATGACTCTCTTGTTACCTAACATTCAGAGACATGTCATGGTGTCTAACATGTGCTATACCAAGTTTATAACTTCTATAATGTTATAGTTCAAGTAAAGGACCACTTAAACAAATACTCATTGGATGAAAACTGTTTGATTTAAATTGTTTTGTTAATTTTTGTTTTAGTCACAGTCACACGTTCGGGTACTTTTGTGAATCTTCTAAACATTGTTACAGGCCAATCAATATACTGCTGTAGAATGTCTCGATTCTTAAATTGGTTGTTGGAGAATCCGAATAAAGCTACTGGGCTACAGTAAATGGTGCATTCTAATAATCCGCTCACCCCAATTTTTTATATCACAGGTTTTTTATTTTTCCTTTGATGCCAACTAAGTTAATGTGGACTTGACTCAAATGAACCAAAGTGGTGTTGTAGTTACTTTTCAAAGTATTGAAATTTACAATTGAGTATAACATTCTCTTCAATGGTTCAATGACAGAAAGAGAAAACTATGCCAACTGCTTTTGCTGATAATAGTAATGGACTTAAAGCCCATTTGTAGTTTTACCAAAGACCTTTACTGCTATTGTTATGTTTCCTTTTTTATTTTTATAACTATTTTCATTTTAGCAATCTAAGCAAATCATTAGAAACCTAATTTGAAACAAACCTAGCACCTTATGTAGATTGGTGTGTGCATTTACAGAAACTAATGGCATCACTGTCAATTTTTTGTAAAGCAAATTATTGTGGTTAGTAACATACACAGAATTCTCAAACTTGACTATTTTAATTGGCAGTTGTCTAGAGTGAAGGAATTTCAGAAGTGAGTGAAATGTGTTAATATTCTTAAGTGGCCATATGAGTACCAGTGGAGGCTGCTGAGGGGAGGACGGCTCATAATAATGGCTGGAACGGGGCGAATGGAATGGTATGTTACAATTCCACCTATTCCGCTCCAGCCATTACCACAAGCCCGTCCTCTCCAATTAAGGTGCCACCAACCTCCTGTGATGAGTACTATTTTGAAGTATGTTTATTTTCAATACAGCTAAAATCTCTTAATCAGTTTTACATATGAATGGTTGTGCACTACTTGTATGCTGTCAGAAGTATAGAGTACACTTTGACTGTAATGTGATTTCTTTTGTTTTCATTTGAGTGGTGTTTTCTTAACATTTTAATTCACAATTTACTGCAGTCGTTGGAAAGAGGGCGATAGAGTATAATTTGTTTATTGGTTAGCTATTTGAGTGAGTCTTGATGGGTGAAATGACAGGGAAAACGTGATTTATTTAAACCAGCATCAATGGCAGATACAGACATCAGTAGGTTTAAGGAGCAACTCTTATTCATTCGTTCTTGGTCCTTAAGCCCTCTTCAATGTGGAATACTTTAAGTATAAATCTCCCTTTTACACTGAATAAGAAAAACCTAAGCTCATATTTTATAAATATGGCTCTAAATCATTCAATGTTATGGCCATATTAAACTAATGTTCTTTACTATGGACCAACTTCATTCTTGAATAAATCTGTGCCTTTTGATGTTAAAATGTCATTTTAACTGGCATTTGAAGAGTATTGCTCTATTAATTTGAGGGGTGACTTCATTTGAGGGTTGTTATATTACAGTAAAACTGAAACTATCAAAATTCTAGTGCCTTTAGATAATTGTATGGACCATAATCTCCAAAATTAAAATCTGTGGTGGATACCACTCATATGATTTGATTGTTTATCACTTAAAATTATTCTCTTGAGTGGTAAAATTTGCTTTGCCGCTCGGAAAAGTTAAGAATGCAGTGTAAAGAGCTAGAATTCGCAAGTGATCAGAGAAGGGCCGTTTTGAATCAGACTGCATGTTTTGTAAGGGAGGCTTAGGGCAACCTTAGAATGATGAATACTGCTTCTTCGTCTCAGTCTGTATTTGCCATATCAGTCTTCATAACATGCCACAATACCTACCACCAATAAATATGATTCCGTCTGTACTCAACTTTATTGGCACAAGAAAAAAACTGATAATTACTGTTAAAGAAAAGCACCAAGTAGGACTCATTGTTTTGTAAATTAAATGTAATTGAGATGTAACATAATGCTCTGCAGTGGATTAGCATAATCTATTTTGCATTATTGTGAAGTGTTTTTTGTTTTATTAATATTGTGATCATGGAACCTGAAGATGTTATGCAATCTTGTACGTACATACATAAATATAATGTATGACAATGTTCAAATTTAGTATGGAAAAATGCCTATTGCAGCATTGAACTTTTGTAAAAACAAATTTAATTGTTACCACTTGTTCCCAATGGTTAATTTAAATATGTTAATTTAACATGGAAACCCTGAAATATTGAATGTACCGTTCTAAATTAGAAATTTAATAGGTCACTGGAATAATATGGAGAGCAGTTCATCCATTAGCTATGATGTAGCATCTAGTTTTGTGAATTGCTATACAATGAAATAAATGTAAGACTTAAACACATGCAGTTTTCCGGTCTCTGTATTTATCAGTGTAATGATTAAGGGGAGGGAAGACATTTATTTTCTCAGGGTTTTACAGTTAAGACTGTAGGATAAAGCAAGGTTTTTAATTGTGAACTAGTTTGTAGATGTATTTACGCTGATGTCGATGGAAGTAGACATTTGTATTACGAATGAGAAACGTCCCTTATTTTGTTACATTAAAGTATGGACAAATAGGACATTGTATATTGAATTAGTATTCAACTACTGCATAAAAATGATTATATCAATGGGAGTTCCCCTGTGTTAAAGTTGATCCTCTTTATGGAATCAAAGATAGGCCTGATGTTTGGCTTTTTACTCAAATTTAGTAGAAGGTATTAATGAATATTTTGCTTGTAGTGTATCATTAACTTGTTAAATTGTACTGCAACATTATGCAATGGTTTACAGAATTCCCCATTTTTATCATCTTGGGAATTAAAACAATTTTTGATCTTAAATGTGTTGAGTATTTGTTTAATGCATTTAAAACAAGGTAGTAATAAAGGTATGTACTTCTAGTTCACTACACTCCAACAATTAATGTCCCTTGACAACAAGTATAATCTTGCAATAACTAAAACATGAAACAGCATTTTTTAAAGTATTTATTTTCTTCACATGAAAATACCCTTGTTTTGGGGGGGGATTACAAAGGTTCGTTACCACAACCAATTAAAGATTAAAATACATATTTTCTTTATAGTATTGGAATGTATCAAATGGATTAACGTCAAAGAGTGGTACAGAATTCCACAAAATAGGTTGGCCCTCCTGGTAATGCTCTATAGCATTTGGGTTCCCTCAGATTGCTGTGGTACAATGACATGATGATTATCAGGAGACAGGACATCAAATAGATAGCACAGCAGCTGCACTGCCTAGAGCCAAAACAGAAGAGACATTCTCAGAGGTGCTTGTTATCAATGGTGCTTTCTTCATAGACATTCACTCACAATCTGTTTTATCGAGGTCACTTGATCCTGGACCATTTTGCCATTTAATTGGTACTACAACACAAACAATGTTTCCGCAGTCAGAACAAGCTTACTTTTTTTCAGTGCTGGGATAAATCAGCATTTTTCCCCACTTTGGCAAGTTTAGACCTCTCTCTGTAAATACTATAGTGCAAAATAAATAAACCATAGCATATTAATCTATGCAAAGAAGAAAATGTTAAACACTATCCGGTACATGTTTTTGAGTAGCCTGTTTCCTTACCTTTCAAGCATGGAGTCAAAGCAGGTCACAACGTTATCTTTCTGTAGAACAACGATAAAACAAGGGCCCTCGGGTAGAGCAGTAATCTAGAGAGGAGATCGTCAAGGCCACAGGCAGTGTTACAGTCAGTGGTGGAAAAAGTACCCAATTGTCATATTTGAGTAAAAGTAAAGATACCTTTAATAGAAAATGACTCAAGTGAAAGTCACCCAGTAAAATACTACCGTAATTTTCGGACTATAAGCCTTGCCTTTTTTCCCATTTTTCCACCCTGCGGTTTATATAACGGTGCGGCTAATCTATGGATTTTAAGCGGCGGGCTCCAGCAGGAAAAGCTGGAAAAGCTGGAGGCCGGAAAAGAGTGAGACAGGTAGCGCGCAAAAGTAAAAGTGGAACCGAGAGTGGTACGAGAGACCGAACGAGAACAAGACAGACAGACATTACGAGAGCGAGACAGTTTGTCTCTTTCCCGACAATCCCCTCTGTGCACGAATCCTTACATATGGTAATTAAACATTAAAACACCTGCGGCTTATAGTCCAGTGCGGCTTATATATGTACACATCATTCGATATCATTCAATTTAGCTGCTGCGGCTTATACTCCGGTGCGCCTTATAGTGCGGAAAATACGGTACTTGAGTAAAAGTATTTGGTTTTAAATATATGAAGTATCAAAAGTAAATGTAATTGCCAAAATATACTTAAGTATCAAAAGTATAAATCATTTCACATTCCTTATATTAAGAAAACCAGACGGCACGATTGTTTTTTTAATTTACGGATAGCCAGGGGCACACTCCAACACTCAGACATAATTTACAAACTAAGCATTTGTGTTTAGTGAGTCTGCCAGATCAGAGGTAGTAGGGATGACCAGGGATGTTCTCTTGATAAGTGTGTGAATTGGACCATTTTCCTGTCCTGCTAAGCATTCGAAATGTAACGAGTACTTTTGGGTGTCAGGGAAAATGTATGGAGTAAAAATAAAAGTAGTCAAACATATAAATAGTACAGATACCCCTAAAAACTACTTAAGTACTTTACACCACTAGTTACAGAGAGTGACCAATGCATGCTGCTATAGAGTAACTATGAAACTCCCTCTACATAGCAGACCCACACTCCTCACCTTCCCATCCCTCTCAGAGGGTCGCATCAGTGTCTCAGCGATGTGACATCTCTGGGTCTCGTCCAGGACACTCATCCTCCCGGCCACCAGGTGGCAGCCTCTCCCCAGCAGCTGCTCAAGCAGGTCCAGGAGGAGGGGGGCTGGGCCCAGACGCAGCACACTGGAGGGCAGCAGCAGGCAGGTGGTTTGGCAGAGCGCGCTGCGGACCAAGGGCCCTGCTGCCACCCACATACAAACAGCCACGTTTACAAAGTTCAACTGCTGTTGATACCACATCAACTAAACACAACAACAGTTGCCCCAGACCAATCATAGGCAACGTCCCAATAAAAAGTCAATGATTAAGGGACCTGTTTTGTATCCACATAAAAGTAGTAAATAAGCTATTTAACAACAAAGATTCAGCAAGGCTAAAACATTCAAAACTAGACCACCTCCATTCAGTCCAGATGCCATAAGGCGTGATAAAGATGGCTTGTTCGCAGCAGCAAGACTCTGACTCTGTTCACGGGCCAGACAAGCCAAAGGGTCTGAGTGTACACTGGGTATCTGTGATACAGAACAGTGAGCGACACAACAGACAAAATGTGTTGCTTATTAAACACTATACGCCTAGGAATAGTAAATCATGTCTAATGTAGCACTGTGTGATGTACCTGCTCCTGTCTCATGGTGATGGTCTCTGTGCAGCATAGGCCCTCAGGGAACAGCCTCTTCACATCCTGAACAGCTCTCTGATAGCTCCTCGATCCTACAACATAGTATTATATCATTCATTATGAGCTACTAACATTATATCCGAAACATTAAAACCTTATTCCAAAGCCAGTTTCAGCCACTCTGTAACTGATTGATCTATGTTGTCTGGCAGGGCCTGGAAGGTGGCCCAGTATCGTGCGGGGGGGCGAGGGGGCACTGACCATAGATGCCACTGTGTAGCTGGTCCGAGCTGTAACAGGCCCTCCAGAGGAATTGGTCCAGAGCGCGGGCCTGGGCAGGGTCCTCAGGCCCCAGCACATCCAGTAGCCTCTTCACAGCGTTCTCTCTCTGCAGGCATAGAGCCAGGGAAGGCCCAGAGCTCAAGTACTGGACATGGGCTTCTACAGCAGAGGGGTCCTAGAGGAAAACACCACAGGAAAAATTAGCTGAACCAATGCATTTAAAACAATGTAACAATCTGTCCACTGGCCTGGTTTAGATAGGTAGGAGTAAGCGAGTTGCCTGATGCTCTGCAGCAGACACCAGAGACACAGCTGTGTTTGGTCCAGAACCAGCACACGCAGGCCCACTACAGTGAAACCAACTCCGCTGGACTTTGCTGAGGATTTTCCCCAGAGCATGGCTCCCACACTCCAGGCTTGAAACAGACAGTGTGACCCAGCGGCTGGGGGCCTGATGGAAACAGACAAGACTGGCAAATAGGGTGCTTACATATTTTCTTTTGTACATTTTTTAACCATTGTTGAAGTAATCGACTTTGCAAGTAACCAATGTTTAATAAAACATCCTACATTACATCATGTTATTTAAAGTTCAAAGTTCATACAAATAAACCCGTTTCCAAACTCACCCTGCACCATGCAGTTCAACAATGACTCACACTGGGAACCTGTAAGGAACATTAAACACAAGTCAGAATGGAGGTGGGTGAGAGGCAGTTGTTTGAATGTGACCCAGTGATACATACCCAGCTACATTGATGCAAGGTGGGGTAGGAACTTCAGTAATGGGCGCACACGATCTGAAGATGAGAGAAAATCCACATAGATCCAGCTATCCTTGACATAATTACCCCAGATATAGGGTAGTAGAGAAATAGTACATAGCTTGCACTGACTGTAGTTTTACCTGGGATCATCTCTCCGTGGGAGAAGAAGAGGGATGCTTGTCTGAAGGCCAGTTCAGGAGTGGGAGACATCAGTATGTTCAGATTACCGGTGTAGTTCCGTGGCAGGAGCCGCCGTAGGGTGGCGAAGGGCGTCCACCCTACTCAGGGCACACACCAGGGCAGGGGAGGAGGCCAGACCCACCAGGCTGCTCTGCCACAGCCGGTCACCTACCTCATAGGGGCCTCACCTCCCGCGCCTGCTCCCGGGACAATGTGGGCAGCCACTTCAGGGCCAGCAGCTCGAATTCATCCTCCCCAACATCGCCTGATGGAGAAACAGGGTAGAAAGGATAGAAACATAGGGCAAGGTTAGGTAGGTGAGGAGTTCAGTGCTACAGCTGAATTGCAAGTACAATATTGGTATTATTAATAATATTAAGCATTTTAAATATATTTCAAATATTTCATTACATGGACTGTGTTGTGGGAATGGTTAATGTAAGTAAAGTACCTGTTGTGTCCCCTGTCAGGAGCCTGTGTAGCAGGGTTAAGCCCTGACCAATGTCCCCTGCCAGCTAGGGTAAGAACCACCCCCTGCTCCAGCTCTGGGTTGGATGGACACCTGTATTTGGACAGCACCACATTGCAGGGGTCTGGTACCGCCCACATACGCCCACCTGAGAACCAAGCGTAAACAGAAACTCAATCAGACCAGGAAGCAAAGGAGGGGTCATCATTGACAGACTGTGTTAACTCTTCCCTTACCAAAGCTATGGAGCAGGCTCTCACTGTAGGGCAACATGTGAAAGCAGCTGCTCGGGTCCAGCTTTCCTTCATCTGACAGTCTAATGTGGATACATCCCAACAACCTCTGCTCCTCCAACTCTTTCACAAGGGCTGACAAAAAGAGGAATCAGTGTCAATAGACTGAACATTGATGTCACAAGCTCAAATGCCTCTACAATGCCTCCCGGCTTCAAATGGGAAGACATGTTCTTTATACACTGAGTATACAAAACATTAGGAACACCTGCACTTTCCCATGACATAGACTGACCAGGTGAATCCAGGTGAAAGCTATGATCCCTTATTGATGTCACCTGTTAAATCTACTTCAATCAGTGTAGATGAAGGGGAGGAGACAGGTTAAAGAAGGATTTTTAAGCCTTGAGACATTACATTTACATCATTTAGCAGACGCTCTGGATTGTATATGTGTGCCATTCAGAGGGTGAATGGGCAAGACAAAATATGCAAGTGCCTTTGAACGGGGTATGGTAGTAGGTGCCAGGCTGGAGTGTGTCAAGAACTGCAACGCTGCTGGGTATTTCACGCTCAACAGTTTCCCGTGTGTATCAAGAATGGTCAACCACCCAAACGACATCCAGCCAACTTGACACAACTGTGGGAAGCATTGGCGTAAACATCGGCCAGCATACTGTGGAACGCTTTCAACACCTTGTAGTCCATGCCCCGACAAATTGAAGCTGTTCTGAGGGCAAAAGGGGGTGCAACTCAATATTAGAAAGGTGTTCCTAATGTTTTGTACATTCAGTGTACTTTTGAGGTGATAGAAACAGAGCGATATTAGGTAGTACAGGGTTAAGTACTGTACCTGCAGGCAGGCTGGGCACAGTGACGCAGGCCACTCTCTCTCCTCAAACGTAAAGACCAGGCAGTGGGGGGACCAGCTCAACCTTCTCCTCATCCACCAGTAACAGTGGGCGGACTGCAGAACACTGACACCTTGTCAAACAGAAAGACAAGCTTTAAGACAGGGCTAAGTCAACACTGATCTCGCCAGTTCCTCTCAGGTGCTCTGCTGTCAATCAGTGTGGTGGTCTGATCTGGAGACAGTGTGGTGCAGGTGGGGTCGTTACCTGCTGACTGGTACAGTCCCAGCGCCTGGGTTCGTTTGGTGGGGAGCTGCAGCCTCTGGGACCCCCCTCAGAACTAAACCCTCTGCCCTCACACACAGACAGAACCTGGCTGTAGCAGCATGACGCCACCGCTGGAGAAAACTACCAGGAACACGTTCCACTATGAGGTGGGGAGGGAAAAGGCAGATCCACAGTAAGACATTTTGAAACTTCCAATTACTGTACTTGGGATCTAGGACTAGAGTTAAAGCATTAAGCCATTAATTCTGATATTGTTGACCTCAAGTGTGTACTTGTTTCTGAGTTACCTTTAACAGTAGCACACAGGGTGGTAGAGGACCTGGTTATATACAAGGGGCTGCTTCCCTCTCCATCACCAGGGGCAGAGCTGAGAGTGTTGGAAGAAAATCATGTTTTTTGTGTAATACTTTGACTACTGTGCGTGTGTGTGTGTATATAAAGTACCAGTCAAAATGTTTTGGACACACCTACTCATTCAAGGGTTTTTTTTATTTGTACTATTTTATTACATTGTAGAATAATAGTGAACACATCAAAACTATGAAATAACACATATGGAATCATGTAGTAACCCAAAAAGTATTAAACAAATCAAAATACCTTTTTAAATTTTATATTCTTCAAATAGCCACCCTTTGCCCTGATGACAGCTTTGCACACTCTTGGCATTTTCTCAACCAGCTTCACCTGGAATGCTTTTCCAACAGTCTTGAAGGAGTTCCCACATATGAGGAGCACTTGTTGGCTGCTTTTCCTTCACTCTGCCGTCCAACTCATCCCAGCACGCCATCACTCTCCTTCTTGATTAAAGTAGCCCTTACACAGCCTGGAGGTGTATTGGGTCATTGTCCTGTTGAAAAACAAATGATAGTCCCACTAAGCCCAAACCAGATGGAATGGGCGTATCGCTGCAGAATGCTGTGGTTAGCCATGATGGTTAAGTGTGCCTTGTATTCTAAATAAATCCACAGACAGTGTCACCAGCAAAGCACCCCCAACACCATAAACACCTCCTCCATGCTTTACGGTGGGAACTACACATGCAGAGATCATCCATTCACCCACACCGCGTCTCACAAAGACACAGCGGTTTGAACCAAAAATCTCAAATTTGGACTACAGACTAATGTCCATTGCTCGTGTTTCTTGGCCCAAGCGAGTCTCTTCTTTTTATTGGTGTCCTTTAGTAGTGGTTTCTTTGCAGCAATTCGACCATGAAGGCCTGATTCAGTCCCCCTCTGAACAGTTGATGTTGAGATGTGTCTGTTACTTGAACTCTGTGAAGCATTTATTTGGGCTGCAATTTCTGAGGCTGGTAACTCTAACGAACCTATCCTCTGCAGAAGAGGTAACTCTTGGTCTTCCATTCCTGTGGCAGTCCTCATGAAGGTATGAAGTCAGTTTCATCATAGCGCTTGATGGTTTTTGCGGAATGCACTTGAAGAAGAAACTTTCAAAGTTCTTGAAATGTTCCGTATTGACTGACCTTCATTTCTTAAAGTAATGATGGACTGTCGTTTCTCTTTGCTTATTTGAGCTGTTCTTGCCATAATATGGACTTGGTCTTTTACCAAGATAGGGCTATATTCTGTATCCCCCACTACCCATTGTCACAAAAGAACTGATGGTGGCTCAAACTCACTAGAAGGAAAGAAATTTCCAACAAATTAAACTTTTTAGAAGGCACACCTGTTAATTGAAATGCATTCCAGGTGGACTACCTCAAGAATTCTGGTGAGAGAATGCCAAGAGGGGCAAAGCTGTCATCAAGCAAAGGGGGCTATTAGAAGAATCGAAATATTAAAATTATTTTCATTTGTTTACCACTTTCTGTTACTTCATGAGTCCATATCTGTTATTCATAGTTCTTGTATCTTCACTATTATTCTAAAATGTAATTTTTTTTTTTATAACGAAAATCCTTGAATGAGTAGGTGTGTCCAGACCTTTGATAGTAGGGGTGTGTTTATATATTTACCAGTGGGGAGAACAAGTATTTGATACACTGCCGATTTTGCAGGTTTTCCTACTTACAAAGCATGTAGAGGTCTGTAACTTTTATCTAGGTACACTTCAACTGTGAGAGACAGAATCTAAAACCAAAAATCCAGAAAATCACATTGTATGATTTTTAAGTAATGAATTTACATTTTATTGCATGACATAAGTATTTGTTCACCTACCAAAGAGTAAGAATTCCCGGGCTCTTACAGACCTGTTAGTTTTTCTTTAAGAAGCCCTCCTGTTCTCCACTCATTACCTGTATTAACTGCACCTGTTTTGAACTCGTTCCTGTATAAAAGACACCTGTCCACACACTCAATCAAACAGACTCCAACCTCTCCACAATGGCCAAGAGCTGTGTAAGGACATCAGGGATAAAATTGTAGACCCGCACAAGGCTGGGATGGGCTACAGGACAATAGGCAAGCAGCTTGGTGGAAGGCAACAACTGTTGGCGCAATTAATAGAAAATGGAAGAAGTTCAAGATGACGGTCAATCACCCTCGGTCTGGGGCTCCATGCAAGATCTCACCTCGTGGGGCATCAATGATCATGAGGAAGGTGAGGGATCAGCCCAGAACTACACGGCAGGACCTGGTCAATGACCTGAAGAGAGCTGGGACCACAGTCTCAAAGAAAACCATTAGTAACACACTACGCTGTCATGGATTATTAAAATCCTGCAGCGCACGCAAGGTCCCCCTGCTCAAGCCAGCGCATGTCCAGGCCCGTCTGACGTTTGCCAATGACCATCTGGATGATCCAGAGGAGGAATGGGAGAAGGTCATGTGGTCTGATGAGACAAAAATATAGCTTTTTTGTCTAAAACTCCACTCGCCGTGTTTGGAGGAAGAAGAAGGATGAGTACAACCCCAAGAACACCATCCCAACCGTGAAGCATGGAGGTGGAAAACATCATTCTTTGGGGATGCTTTTCTGCAAAGGGGACAGGACGACTGCACCGTATTGAGGGGAGGATGGATGGGGCCATGTATCGCGAGATCTTGGCCAACAACCTCCTTCCCTCAGTAAGTGCATTGAAGATGGGTCGTGGCTGGGTCTTCCAGCATGACAACGACCCGAAACACACAGCCAGGGCAACTAAGGAGTGGCTCCGTAAGAAGCATCTCAAGGTCCTGGAGTGGGCCTAGACAGTCTCCAGACCTGAACCCAATAGAAAATCTTGGAGGGAGCTGAAAGTCGGTATTGCCCAGCCCCGAACCTGAAGGATCTGGAGAAGGTCTGTATGGGGAGTGAGCCAAAATCCCTGCTGCAGTGTGTGCAAACCTGGTCAAGACCTACAGGAAACGTATGATCTCTGTAATTGCAAACAAAGGTTTCTGTACCAAATATTAAGTTCTGCTTTTCTGATGTATCAAATACTTATGTCTTGCAATAAAATGCAAATTAATTACTTAAAAATCATACAAATGTGATTGAAAGGTTTCGGGCTGTCGCTGGGCAATACGGACTTTCAGCTCCCTCCAAAGTTTCTATTGGGTTCAGGTCTGGAGACTGGCTAGGCCACTCCAGGACTTGAGATGCTTCTTACGGAGCCACTCCTTAGTTGCCCTGGCTGTGTGTTTCGGGTCGTTGTCATGCTGGAAGACCCAGCCACGACCCATCTTTCAATGCTCTTACTGAGGGAAGGAGGTTGTTGGCCAAGATCTCGCAATTACATGGCCCCCATCCATCCTCCCCTCAATACGGTTGCAGTCGTCCTGTCCCCTTTGCAGAAAAGCATCCCCAAAGAATGATGTTTCCACCTCCATGCTTCACGGTTAGGATGGTGTTCTTGGGGTTGTACTCATCCTTCTTCTTCCTCCAAACACGCGCGAGAGGAGTTTAGACCAAAAAGCTCTATTTTTGTCTCATCAGACCACATGACCTTCTCCCATTCCTCTGGATCATCCAGATGGTCATTGGCAAACTTCAGACGGGCCTGGACATGAGCTGGCTTGAGCAGGGTGGACCTTGCGGCGCTGCAGGATTTAATCCATGACGGCGTAGGTGTGGTTACTAATGGTTTTCTTTGAGACTGTGGTCCCAGCTCTCTTCAGGTCATTGACCAGGTCCTGCCGTGTAGTTTGGGCTGATCCCTCACCTTCTCATGATCATTGATGCCCCACGGGTGAGATCTTGATGGAGCCCCCAGACCGAGGATGATTTGACCGTCATCTTGAACTTCTTCCATTTTCTAATAATTGCGCCAACAGTGTTGCCTTCTCACCAGCTGCTTGACAATTGTCCTGTAGCCCATCCAGCCTTGGAGGTCTACAATGTATCCTGATGTCCTTACACAGCTCTCTGGTCTGGCCATGTGGAGAGGTTGGAGTCTGTTTGATTGAGTGTGTGGACAGGTGTCTATTATACAGGTAACGAGTCAAAACAGGTGCAGTTAATACAGGTAATGAGTGGAGAACAGAAGTGCTTCTTAAAGAAAAACTAACAGGTCTGTGAGAGCCGGAATTCTTACTGGTTGGTAGGTGATCAAATACTTATGTCATGCAATAAAATGCAAATTAATTACTTAAAAATCATACAATGGATTTTCTGGATTGTTGTTTTAGATTCCGTCTCTCACAGTGAAGTGTACCCTATGAAAAAATTACAGACCTCTACATGCTTTATAAGTAGGAAAACCTGCAAAATCGGAAGTGTATCAAATATGTGTTCTCCCCATGTTATAGCCAATAAAGATGATTTTTTACAACAGATACAAAGTATCAATCAAGGTTTACTTAGTAAACCTTCAGTCTTTGACCGCCATCTACTATTGATGATTAATAATGTTGTTTAAAAAAAGAAAAGTTGTTGTGCTTTACACGCTTGAGATTATTTATGTAAAGGTTATTAGCGATATAAAAGTTAAATAAATTATTATTATTAGTGGTGATAGTTTGTTTTCGATTTGTAAGTTTAAGTGAGGTTTGTGGGACACATGTGGCTCTGGACACAAACACACCTTGTCAGTTGGAGCCTGGTCAGGGTTCTGGGAGTTATCTCCTGGAACTGTTCCTTGCGAACCACGTGACCAGTTCCATTGCACTCTGCTGGCAGGCGGAGGGGAGTAGAGGGAGGTCAAGTTCGTGCTTGCTGCAGTGCAGGGGTTGATTGGATGCTGGGTCTGTCTTCCTAGCAGCAGGGGGTCTGAGGGCCTGTGACATCCTGCCACACGGGGAGGGCGTGAGGCACTCGGACAGATAGGCAAAGGAGGGGCCGATCGGGCCCCCATCATGTCTCCCTCCCCGTGGCTACACTGCCTGAATTAAGAGACAGACTTACTATAACCTTTACTGAATAATTCAGTTAGGCCACTGAAAGATCTGCAGGACTAGATAAGAAATAACAGAATTAGGTTTATGTGTTGAAATAAAGTTTTACCGGTGCTGTTGGTCAGAAGGCACAGGAGGAGGGTAAAGGGCGGAGGCACACACATCAGGCCTGCGTTGAGGAGAAAGTGGAGGGTGTGGTGTTGAACCACAGGGATGCAGGAGGAACAAAGACATGTATCCAGAGTAGTTAACAGCTATCTGTGAGAAAGAAAGAAAAAAAAAACGGTATGCTGATTTCCTCATTCTATACCAACAGTTCACTGATCATGGGGTTATTAAACACTGAGGTTAGTGCTTACCAAGAGCTTGGGAACAGCTGAGACATACACAAATTAAGATGTTCTTACCTCATGGTGTAGCGCTGAGTGCACATGGTTCTCCGGCCTCTGACAAAACGACGAGTTCCTGAGTCTCCACAGTCTGCAGGAGAACCTGGGTTCAGGACCAAAGGTCACTCTTCACAGCCTAGACACAGGGCAAAGCTACAGCACATTACAGGGGAACACTTCCACATCATAAGTCAATCTCAGATTCTAAGCATTACCTGTACATATACCTACCATTTGGTCTGAGTTGACGAGATAAAGCTGTCTCAGGAGGAGGCAGGTATGTGGACGGTGGGGGGATAGGCCTGTTGGTCTAATGGCTCCTGAGCTGTGGCAGCCAATGGTGATGGCGCCTGCGGGAGGTTGAGAGAGGAAACTGCAGACACGCTTGCTGGAAACACCGCAGAGTTGTTGCAGGTGTTGGAGGAAGGCAAATCACTTAATTACAGAAAAGGTGGTGGGTAGGCACAGAGGAAACGTTTGGGTGAATTCACATAGAATAGGAATTTGAATACTACTACTAATAATAAGGAATTAAAAGGTCTCTATGTGCATTCAACAACCCGGGGTTGCGGCCAGTTGTAGGATCTTATCCATGGACACAGCACAGATGTGTAGAGCAGCCATCTCTGTCCACAGCGGCTGTAGGCAGCCACCCAGAAGGGTACAGAACACTGTCATCCCACCTTGAGGACTGGTGCTCCAACTACCAAACACAAGTTAGAGGGCATCAGTAAAACTATGAACTCCATAAACACAAAACGAGTTGTAAAAAACTAATTCAGATGATCTCGTTCAATGATCTGACAAGAACTAGTCAAACTAAAATATTCACACAAAGACAGAAAACAAGCAACCAGAGCATTGTATATATGGGCTTTGGTTGTGGCGTGCTCCACTGGGGTTGCTTCCATGATGACGTGCTGGCTACCAGGCTGGGACTGGAGAGGCATACAGTCCGCAGCAAGCACTCCTTAGCCTCCATATCAGCAGGCGAGTGTTAACGAATGTAGGTGAGAGGACTAATGATGAAAAAAGAACAAAAAATATGAAAATATGTAGGTGGTACCTTTCTCAATTTATCAAATTTTGGGGGCCACTGGGGGATGAAATGAAAAATGAAAAGACGTGGAGTGGGGAAAATTATTGATTTGGGCACTGAGTCTGTCTGTTCCAGATGAACTTACAGTGTCGTAATAAGAACATCAGTCTCTCAGCGGCAGGCTCCGTCTCCTGCAGACCTGGTTGGTCTAAAGCTTTCCAGGGTTTCTGGAGCTGCTGCTCTCTGTTCTGTTGCTCTCTATGCTCTTGGGTCACTGAACAGGTCACAAAACACAGTGTTTCAGCCATCAGTGGCGGCTGCTGAGGGGAGGAGGTCAAAAGAATGGTCTGGAACGGAGCGAATGGAATAGCATCAACCATGTGTTTGATGTACAGTATTGTACCATTCCCACTTCCAGCCTTTAGCATGAGCCATCCTCCCAATTAAGGTGCCAACAAACCTCCTGTGTCAGCTAAGTGACTAAAATTTAAGATTGACAGATATGAGACAAAGTCCCCAAATCCCCTAAAATGAAATATTTATATACCTTTGTTTTCTTGGCTGCCGGTGTCCCAGCACGCTGATGAAGAGGCAGGTGTTCTTCAACTGGCAGGCCGTTTGGTCATGCTGCATGTGAGGAGATGTGGTTTGGTGTCCACCTCTGGAAAGCAGAGATGTTTTCTCATGTTAGCCTCAGTTAGCTTGTCCTTTCAGAAATCTTCTGGGGTTTCTGCATGTAGAATTGCTGGTGGAACTGGATCTTTCCTGTCTGGCTCACTCCTGTTCTGTTCACTCGCGTAACATTTGAGTAACAGGCTCTTTCCAGTATCCCTGGGAGAAGAAGAAAAAACACCAACATGAAACAGGAAGGGTTAAAATGAATTCAAGTTCACAGCAACAGAGCCATTATGTATATTTACAAAGCTATGTAATAATGTTTTGAGCTTTACAGCAAAATGGTTCTGTTATTCAAGGCAATATTTTACTCTTTTCCATTCACTAATCCAGACCGTTTATATTACTGTCTGTTTTCTCATAAGATGGTTTTCGTTCGTGTAGGTTAGGTGCGTCAGTTTCATGGATTTGTGATGAAGTGCTGTTGCATGAGTCTGGGTTGTTTTCGTGGGAGGCTCAGGGTTACGCAAATCCAATATAAACAGTGGGCACTTCCTGACGGCTTGGCTGCAAATCAATGCCATTCCTTTTGAAATCTTTCCATCCCACCATTTTGTCTGGGACAGTAAAACAAAACGTTATGTTAAACTCAGGACATTATTCATACTCGTGAAACCCAACAACTTATCAGCTATTTTACCTGAAATCGGTAGGATGTTGGACAGGTGCTTCTGAGCCCACCAGAAGTTTATCTGGGCAGTTTTTATTTATCTTCATCATCTTGAGCAGTGATGAAGAGGCTGGCTGCTTCTGTCCTGAAGACAGCAGCCAGCCTCTCCAATAGATTATCCTGTGACCTTACATTGTTCCATCTGTGACCAAATTGAGAATGAATTGATTATCTCATTAGAGAATAGCATTGATGTGAATGAAATGCTAGGTTCATAATGGTTAAGCAGTGCTTATCAGTGTGATACAGTAGAGTTACCCTAGTGTCACTGGTTGTACTTCCATAGGTTCATCTGACACACGCTTCTAAAAAGAGCCCTATCTGTTTGAAGAGTCAGAAGAATTGGTCCAGATCCCATGCTCCAGTGGCTGGTTTTAAAAACACAATAGGCACGATTTGTAGACATAAAACTGATCAGTATTCTAATTACTGCAGAATGAAAATGACCAGAGGTGAACAAATAAAGTAGTATTATGTAGTACTTCTCATGGTAAAATGCATATTTATAATAGAAACTTAAATCACCTCAAAAGACAAAACAGTTGTACTATTTTTGTAGTGGCTTTTCATCGAGCCATTTGGTTAGTTATCTGGTCTTTCTCAAAGCATTGAGTGACTCCAAATGTGTTTTCTTCAAAAGCCCGTTATGTGAAGGTGTGTTGTGGCGATGTGGAACTCAGTTGTTTTTTGTCTGTTTAGTGTGCCAGGCTGTGGGCGCTTGGGTGTAACCTTTCATCTCCAAATGGATGATGCTGCAAAGGATGGCTCTGCCTGACTGCATTTCTAATAGGAGTCATGCTGCTATCTCATTTTACCTTATTAACCTATGGGGCTGGGCTACTGGTGTGTGCCTGCTGGCTAAATCGGTGGTTTGCAAGCTCCATGGGTTTCAGTTAGGCTCTCTATGAGGGCAAAGGGCTCCTCTGTCAACACAAGTTGGGGGCTGTGCCACAGATATTAGCAGTCCGTTTGGGATACACACAGTACACACACAGTAACCCTGTCAAGGACTCGTCATCAATAGTTGTGTAAAATTGCCTCGCTATCTAGCTACTTACCTCTTATTCAAGTTCCTCCCAATGAGGCAACTCTAGGCCCTCTGTGGTTGGAGGAAGAAGGGCTACTGGTCGGCGAAAAGTGGGGGTATGTCCTCTCATTTCGGACTGAAGAGTAAGATTAGCTCAATTCAGCTAACGTTGATACATTTAGTAGATTTACTTGGCAAATTACAATTCAAAAAAAAATAAACACCACGCGAGTAGAATAGCAAGTAAGTAGCAAAGTTCATCCAAATTAAGGGTTTCATAGGGCCAGATAGCTAAACGTTGTCTTAATATACTGCACTGTGTTAGCTAGCTAACGTTAGAGCGAAGGCAGTAAATCAAACTCACTGTGGAAGAATCCGAATCAATGGACGGAATATGGGGTTTTGACGCTGTCAAAAAGAAGCATTCCAATGCGTTTGAAGGATCAGTTGTCCATGGACATAAACTAATGCATCTAGAATAATTCAAGATAGACCACTCTATGTGAAAGAGAGTAGCAGTAAGCTACAATAATAGCTAAAGGTAGATAGCTGCTACCACAAAACAATGGCAAAACTGTTGGTTACCCAAACAATCTGAACTACAGGAGTGAGGAGCACATATGAGGACGACTTGTTGCAGGCAGAAGGTGGATGGGACATGGGAAAGATGGTCAACATCTCAACATCTGTGATGCGACTGAGAGCTAAGTAATGTAATGAACCGTTCAGGTTTGCGTTCATGAATCCTGCAGTCAGAGCTGTGTTGGAGTGTGCCTGCTGTAAAAATTGCTCCCTGCCGACTTCTTGAAAAGGAAAAACCTTTATAGGGTCCTTATAATTTATGAGGCCTAAGGTTATTTCTCCTCTGCTTAGAGGTCTGGACATTATGGTACGTGACGAAGGTTTGCCATGTGTACACAATATCCTCTGGCCCCTCAAGATGGGACTCTGCACCCTTAATGGTAAAGGCTGATATGTGTACCTAGGCCTCCTATATCTCTATTTGGTGTGTGTGACCAATCTGTTGAGCAAATATGTCTTCTTAAATATGTTGCAGAGGACAAAAACACACATGACGGTGTTTATTACCGATGAGTTTAATAGTCAACCTTCAAAAGGGAATACTTCGAACAAACATTTCCTAAAAGATAAAGTTAATGTACACTGTGTATTCTAGTAGGCTTACTTGCAATTTGTTTGTGTAATGCTTTATGAACAGTTATGTACTTGAAATAACTAAAAGTGTATGATGCAAAAGCTACATACTGTGCAAAAATGAGGGCCTACTTACCACAGGTAGCAAAATAATTTGGTACATTAGGCCACAATTTGAGAATATTCATATTAGGAAATCATTGAATGTACAGGGAAAGGAAATTGTGGCTAATAACAATTATTTGAAATGATTGTATTCAAATGTCTGGCGTCTTGACCCCATAATCCTTCCCTCAGCAGTTATTGATGG